GTTCTGCAACCGGTGGGAGCCCTTCAGTCCCTTTTCCAACTCTCCTGACAACAAGTAGCATGACACCTGCTATTGGCACTGCCTCCTGAGTAGAGGTTTCAGTATGCCATGGTGTATGCCTGTCCACAGCTGCTTCTTCTTTATGAAGTAGTGAAATACTTACGTTTCTAAAGGAGAACTCCAAGATACTTGAGAATGTCCCTTGCAAATACTAAATAATCATAATTCATTTGCATTTTGTTTTTAAAGCTTCTGATGGAGGTTTACCATCATCAGCTCCACTAAAAAGTGGGAGTAGTGCATCTCACAGCTAGGGGATTGTCGAGGTGAGGATGAAATATCAGAATAGTAATCCTTTGCATTAATCACACATCTCCCCTCCTGATGATGAGTACATGGCCATTTGCAGAGGCACTTTGCCTGCAGCAGGAGAAAACAAAGGAAAAGTAAATCCTTTCTCTAGTCTCAAGGGCAAAGATAATTTTCTCTTCAATAATAAATTTTCTTCTAAGGGTGCACAACTGCACCATTGCAGCATCTGTCTTGTGTCTTGGCACACATTAGAGATGATCAAAGCAGCAGGTTTTGTTTAAGGCAGTCGAAAAGCAGAGTTTTGGAACATCCAGGGTTGGATATAACACCACAAAGCAAGGAAGAGTCACAAGAGCCAAACTATTAAAAATTTTTTTTAGCAGTTTGCCAGTGTGCAAAATAAAAAGGTAGATGAAGTGACACAATTCTGAAATTGTTTAGTCAACTGACATTCTCCCCCTTTTTGTTATCCCACAGATTCCTTGAATAGATTTTGAACACGTTAATTTTTTTTCAGTCCAGATAATCAGTCCAGCCATCAAAATAATGTTGCTATTTTCCATGACAGTGAGAAACAGCATTTTTTTACCAATATTTTTCTTTCCTTGTGAGACAAATATAAACTCTGCTATTAAATGACAATGAATAAACCTAGGCACTGTTAATAAGAAAAAATTCTCAAAATGAAGCATTCTAATGAAGCATTCATACTAATTCTACTTTTATACAAGCATAACATTGAATCAAGTAAAACATTGTCATAGTATTTCTGTAAGTGATTCATTAATTTCATACCATCAAACAAGATAAAGAAGGCAAACATTCTCAGTACACAAATAATAATTGAAATACATATTTTTAGACACCTGATTCTTTTCAGGAACTTGAGCTCTAAAGTATTGCTTGTGAGTAATTATCAGTATCAGTAATCTGATTTACATGATTTATTAATGCCTTGCTAAAATGCTCTGATGTAACTGTGCAGCACAATTTTCTTTTTTCTATAGGGAGGAGAAAATCCCAAGCACTGTCATAATCAGCTGTCTTGTCTCCAATCATTCCAAATTAATTTAAGCAGTCCAGAACTGGGTGCTAACTTCTCTTATATATCAGGAGAGTAGGTAATAAAATAAAACTAATCAGTCAGACTGTAGTAGCTCTTTACTCTGTAATAGTGGGAGGAGAGGGTGAGATCAGCGGTTCTGCAAAGCTGAAGTGACCAGCTGACTTCTTTGTCTGCTAGCCTGCGTGCTCTCCACCAGCAAAGCAAGAGGCAAGACATTTCTCCCTGCTACTTTGTGAATTAGGGGCTTTCCCATGCAGCCACTCTGCATAATGAAGCTAAATGTCCTGATGACAGTGCTCCTGAAGACAGTTTATGCCTCCATAATTTCATTTCTTCTTACATCACACCTGTGGAAATGAAGCAGCTTAGTTAATGACAAGAGTGATGCATTGCTTTAATTCTCATTGTTATGAATATGATCAAGGCCCCATGAGAACACTGGAAGTATTATGTTATATTTTCTTCTGCTTTACTACTGGGGCTGGCTTTGTTCATAGCAGATTTTACAAGAATTTGTTGCCATCTTTAAGCCTGGCATTTGCTCTTTCTGCCTTGAAATAGTTTAGGATGTGTCATTTCAATGCTGAAGAACGGACAGAGGCATTTATTGCTGAGCTACCTTCCATGAAAGAAACAATCCCACCTCCTGGGAGTTTTCAGTTTTTCTCTGTTAGTGTTAAAGCATCACGTGTCCATACTGCATTGTAATGGATTACTTTGGTTTGTCATTTCTTTAAGAACAAAAGCAGTCTATTTCGATTTATATAGAATACTTATTTCTATAACTTGAGTTTAGTCTTCTTTAGAGTCATAGAAGGCACAGTACAGTAGGTTAACACAAAACACTATGAACTGAATTCTGAAAATACAAGTCACATGCTTCTATGTATTGTGTGTAGGAAGACAAGATTTCCTTTTCCATGTGCCATATAGGCTTCTATTTAAAACATAGCAATACAAAAAAGTGTTATCAGTGAAAAGCCAGCTAGTTTTTAGATTGCTAATCTAAAACCAATCTAAATTAATTCATCTAAATAAAACAATGAAAGAGAAGTTTTACCTATTTGTTACTGAAAATCTGTTGTGATTTCCTCAGTACTTTGAGGAAACACCAGTCAATAAGAGTTCTTCAGTAGTTCCTTTCATTCCAACTGAAACCCAAAATATTTCTAAGTATCTCCAGTTAGAAACTGCAGAGAGGGGTTTAATACACAGTGGTTACTCTGAATTAAGATTAAAATGCTGTTTGATAGCTCCTGGCTTTTTTTAGTAGCAATTATTCTGAGTACATGATAATACTTGTTAGTGACTGCATGCGCTTTAAGCTCTCCACTCCTTGATATGTTCTTGAACTTCTGCCATTTTGCAAGGGGCACTGACTCAAAGGTTTTGATGGGGTGATGGAGGACTGACGTTATAAAATTAACGTGTCCTGAATTACTACCCAAGAATTACAGACTCACAGACAGTGTATGTGTTTAACACTCGTCAGTGACATTAAATATACTTTTGTCTTATTAAAATGCTGTTAGAGCTGCTGCTTAATGGTTCACTATGGTTTTATGACCAAGTACGCTAAATATTCTAAGAAATTTTTAGTTATGGACAAATTCAATAAGAAAGGATTGTATCAACCTAATATATTAATGCATAAGTGGTATTTTCAGTACTGTCCATGGATTATTGTCTGATACTGCTCTATTTGGTTGTATAATATCATTATAGTTTATGCTATCCAAGGCTCACAATAAAGTCATTAAGTCCATCAGTCTATTTAAATAACCTAAGACATATAAGATAAACTACTTTTGAACTTCTTAAAGTATCTTACAAGTAGCTCTGCATCTAAGGTGCTTACATTTTAATCAAGTAGTGTCAAACTTTTTGACAACTAAAAGAGAGATTACTCCTGTTTGCTCAAAGGTCCAGTGGCAAATAAATTCCACAGTGTTAAAGGATGATGGAAAATAATCTGAGAACCATTTGAGCATTCTTCCATGCCCTGACAGTTTGATAGGCTAATTTGAGTAATGAACAAATTTTTAATTCCCTGTGTACAGATTTTTCAACTACTTGTGCTGCAGATTTAGCTTGGCTGCAAAGATCTAATCTTCTATTATATATTACCTAAATAATAAATCTATACTACACTATATGATAAATTATATTACCCACTTTATTTGAAAAAAATAAAGCATTCTAATATAAACAAAATTCAGAGCAGTTCAATGGCCTTTACAGGATACCTCTTTCATGACTGTGATTCTACTATATGATAGGGACAAAACCCCAGAAATACATAAGTGAATAAGCAAGTGAGATGTGTAGCCACTCATGGAGAAACCCTGACTTCATTGGAGTTAAGTCTACTTATTTCTTTCTGTCTTCATTTCTCCTTGAATTTTCTTAACAAACATTTCGAAAATTGGCTTTATGTCTGTTTTTTTCAGTTTATTGGAGATAGCAGGATTAGGCAGAGACCACAAAGAATATTATGTATATATCTGTTTCTGTCTAGACCTGCTTATTTCTAAATATTTAGAACACAAATTCCTGATGTCCTCTGCTGCAAAAGCACACTTTCAGTTTGTCTATTGAGTATATTCCTTTAACATTTCATATATGCAATTCCATTTTTACTGTGTTGATTAGTATCTTCAGCAAATGAATACAGCATCCTGCTGGTCACCTACTTAAAATCCAGACTGTCTGCAGAAGATATTCTACACTGCCAAGACTTGTGTGATACTAAACCCAGGAAAGCAATTAGTATCCTCATGATGTGTAGCATGAAGACATACTCTAAAGAACTCAGCTGAATGATTCTTGCTTTAAAACAGCTATTCACCTGGAAAAAAAAAAATCATTGCTTAAAGATTTCAGGTTACCGTATTAGCTGGAATGTGACTTGACCAAAACAAACTAGAATATAAAGGCAGCCTGTTTGAGGACACAGTGGAAACAGGACAGGGATATTTGTCATGAGGGGTTTTCTGGTAGAGAAAGTTGGCTCTAGCTGGAGAAGATTCAAAGAAGTGGCCAGAACATTAAGATGGGGAGGAAGAAAATGAGTTCTGTGGGAAGTTGCCTCCAAAGTGGCCTGCAACATCTTGAGGCAATGTCATTACTCTGTTGAGATCAGTGAGATTTTTCTCTTGGCTTTACAGCAGCCAGGATCTCACTCTTGACGCTTACCACTCATGTTTGACCTTGCAGGCAAGGAAATCACTGCAATTTAGAGTGCCTCAAAAAATAACCTGTGTCACATGCCTATTGGGCTGAGTATGAAGACAGCCTTTATGTGTCAGAAAGGCAAATATATTTATTGCATCTAAAGATCATCAAAGTCAGATTTCTGTATCACATCACTGTGTTTACAGAGCAGGAGGAAAGCTGGGCATGTCTGGATTTATCCCACGTTGACTCATAACTATCCTCTTCGGAGCCAAAACCACTCCTAGTAACACTTTCAGTCACCAACAGCAACTTCCAGCCAGCAAAAGTAGATAACAGCAAACTTTCAGTTTGCTTTAACCTGAAACTTGAATCTTGGTAGAAAAGGGATTTTAGCTGTTGGAAGTAGTAACTGGAACTGCATTAGACATCCTCTGTTCAGTGGTCAAATCATCAGAGGTTTTAAAAGCAGTGGAAAATTTTGTGCCTGGAAAGCTCTCCCAGCCTACACTCTTCAGTGCCAAAATTGGTAAGTCCATATTATAGCAATATGCTTATCTGTGGAATTTGCAAATAGGGATTAATTTGAAATTTTAAAAAAGAAAAAAGAACACCTGTGTTTGATTTTCAGTGTTTTTCATATAACCTCTGCTTAATTTACAAGTAGGATTTCTCCTGTGCTCCTGCCATCGATAATCTAGGCTCTGATTGTCCTGGAAAGTTCCTTTTTCTTCTTATTTCAGCACTGATATGTTGTTGGCATCAGGAAACTGTTCAGTCATTCAGCTAGGCTGTACTAAACAGTCTCATTGATATAAAATCCAGTTCCCATGTACTTAGTAGAGTTGAGGTAATAGGACAAATTGAAGACATGCCAGTATCTTCTGACACATTCAAGTAGACATATTACTGAATGTACACAAGAACCTCTTAAAGATGTGTTTAACAATTGCTATATTGTATTTAGAAGTTCATACCTTTCAATTGTAAGCAAAGGATGACTGACTCTGTTTTATTGTATTGAAAGGAGATTTCTATGCTATTTAACCTGTCTTCTCTAAAAGGTGATTGTAAGGATAAGGATTGGGATGACCACCATGTGAGGGACAACGGACTAAATTAGGTTCTACTTGTTCTATGGAATTTCTTTTTTAAACTGTTTTCAAAAAGCTCTGAGGAAATATACAGTATCCCACTGGTAGGTTTAATTCAGTGACAGCTGTCATTCATCAAAACCTTTTCACAGCCAAAGTTTTTAGCTTATATTGCATTTATATCTTGGCCTATCTAACCTACAGTGTACCCATCACACAAGCATTCTTCAGGAATGTGGACAGTAGGTCTTACACATCTGTCTGATATTTGTGCTTTTAGTTTAGTTCAGCATTTGTTCCTACAGAGTTTAGAAAATGTACTCAAAATCATTTAATCTAACTTACCGTATGGTTTTATCCGGTAGACAAAAGGTTATATTTACTTGGAACAGGAACAATTGTTGCTCCCCAGGCTTCATCAGGTTTCATGTTCAGTTCAGATTTTGACTTGCATTCCACCAGTATGAATACTTGCTCTGGCATCTGAGTCAATTGGCTAAGTCACCTCAAGCAGTTGAAATCTGCTTCAGTTTGTAAAACTGGCCTGTGATACAACTGTCTGCCCTCTTACTGGTGTTTAAAAGTGAGCAAAGATGCAAAGATGAAATAGAAGAAGTTACTGGTAATCACCAAAGTTTTTACTAATAAAAATATTTAGAAGAATTTGGAAGAAGTGAAAAAGTTGCAGGAAAGAGGGTAACAGTCACAAATAAAACAGCATGTCCTGAATCCTAAATTAAACTAGAGATGCCCCTTGCTCTTATAGTCGCTTCTTAACTTAGACCTTTCAAGATCTGCAGACTGAACTGAAAGGGGTGAGGAATGACTAGGTCAGTCTCTTTTGAGGCTGAGTAGATCATGACTGCATGATTTCAAATGGATGGTCTTACACTAAGATTGATCATTTCTTGGAAGTACAACAAGAAGGCCTGAATGTCCCATTCTGACCACACATGCTTGGACCAGCACTGCTGTTGTGCATCTCACTTCTGCTTCGTGATTTCCAGTGTAATGCTGCATCATCCCTCCTTATTTCTGTGGGCTTTCGCTGCAGTTTTATTCTGCATATGGATTTTCCTGGAGCCAAGTTTTTCGTAAGCAACATAATATATAAAATATGGCTACCGTCCAAAGCTAGTTATGATTTCAGTTCTCTTTCCTGAGATGGAAAAAAAAAAGAAATAGAGCTATAATGAAGAGGCTCCTAGAACTGGGTTATACAGAGGAGTGAAAAGAAGTTCTAATTTTCTTGTTGCATAAGTAGGTGAAAAGAAAGGAAAGCATTAAATTTTTATTTTCTCTATTTTATTTGCTTAGAATCTATGACAATAAAATGGTAGCAGAGAAAAACAGCACTAAATTTTCAACTTAAAGTTTTGCACAACTGCAACAGCAATGGAGGAAAGGTTGCTATGTATCCAATCCAAATACTAATTTCCACTGGAATACTTGAACAACATTCAATAGAAATGTATCTGAGCACTCTGAATACAGGTATCTGAAAATTTAAAGCAAGAAAATGGAAAAACAATATAAAACAATTATAAGGATAATATTTTCTCTTATTCTTGTGCAAAAAAAGTGAGAATGATAGAGGTCCCCCAGTAAAATAAAGCAGATTTAAGCTGCCATTTCTTCCTTCTGGGATCTCAGTCATGTGTGAGAAAATAAGCTCTTCCATTTGTTGTACTGAAGATTTGATAAGGGGTTTTATTTTCCTTACTCTGTTTCCACCTAGTGCCCAAACTGTACATTGCAGTAATTTGTACGTATTTTCTAGAATCGATAACTGCAAATCAGTATCGAGTCTCTGTTTGCAGGGAATTTGCATTACCAGTAAGGAAGTCAAGATTAAATATAATTTCTATAAAAAGCACTAGCTCCCAGACTAAAGGCTGCCAAGTCTTTGCTGCATGATCTGTTCAGAAACAGGAGCATCAGTTATTTGATTTAACTCTTAGAATCCCTCTTGTGTATGTAATTTTTGTGGTAGTTCCCTTGTTAACTGAAGATGAATGAATACATGAGAATAAACAGGACCACATCATGGTCTTTGAGAGGCATTCATTACTCTGACAGGCAAGTGCGTGTTCAGATGAAATCTGGAAAGGAATAGCTAATCCACCTGGAAATTTTGAGGTGGACTCATCTGGATAGTCTTTCCCAATATATCTGAAGTTATACAGTACCTCTCAGATTTTATTCAACAATAACATTTTAGTAACAGAACTAGAGAATTCAAAAACTCAATTATACTGAAAGAAAAGAAAAGAAAAGGACAGATTTTATGCTGGACTATGAAATCTGTAGTTTTTCAGGAGGTTGAGGAGAGCTAGAAGACACAATTGTGGATTTACCTTATGAAATGTAGCAGGAGGCTTATGAACAGATACACAACATACACAGACAGGACAAGTGATGTTTTGCCTTTCGTTCATGTTCTAAGACAAAATTTTTGTGTTATATATGCTTGTAAAAAGCGAAACATACTAGTATTGCTAATCTCAAACAGTACTTCATACAACACAAGCATGGCACTAACTTCAACAGCTTTAGGATGTGTTTTTTTCATCCATTTTTGTAGCAAAATATGGATGCAGCAATTCTGTTATTTTCCTGCTGTTGTAAATAGCATAAAATAGCTAAATCACTCTTAGTTGTACCACAGTAAAGTTATTTCTCCTAGTCTCTGATGTGTAGAAAGATGGAACTTCCTGTCTCCACAATTTGTAGTTTGGATGTTTTCTTTAGGAAAAAGGCTTTAGCTCCTATTTTTCCCTTGTACTTTCTCTTTAAGCATGGGCAAAATAGGAATGAGTTAATGCCCAGCCTAAGAAACTACAATGTCCTTTTCTTAGGAGAGCATGCTAACTGCTGGTTTACTAGACAGGAGGCAGCACAGTTGTGGCCATCTGGATAAAAGCAGGGTACCAATCATAAATGAAACAGCATGTCATGAAGTCTGAATAAAATAAGAGGTGATTCTTGGTACTACGTCAGCTGTGATCACATTTGTTTTATAATAAAACCTTTGCAGCCACTCTGTTTTTTGAAGCGCCCAGCACTGATTACTCAGTTAGGCAATCCCTGGTAAAATATGTATTGCACCAAATTCTTTTAAGGTCTTCTGGATACTTATCACCCAGTTTAGAATGTGAGGTAGACACCAAGTTGTTTGCTTCAAACCATGCAGATACCTACACAGAGGCATACATGTACGTCACCTCAGAGCCCCAAATGCAATGACCTGCACACGGAATTTACATTTTTCCAGATAGAGGCAACAGGTGGGCTGTGGTTTTTTACAGTTACAGCTTTGGATTACAATTTCACTTTACAGAGAACTTGTTTAACCTTCCGAAAGGCTAAGTGCATAGGGCTGTATAGGTCAGCATCTTTTCTAGTAGAACCTCCTTGTTAAAACATTATTATTTTTACCACTGTGAACCCTACTGTGAACTCTGAGCTACAGAATGGCTGAAGTCTACAGCAGTTTCTATTATGAAACTTTCTTACTTGAATAGTAAAATCAGAATCTATTCATGGTAAAATTCTCCTTATTTGTGAAATAATATTAGTTAAATAGTGTTTTTTATGGAGAATGCATGGTGGAGGTGTAAGTGAACAGCAATATTTTATTACACTATCTGTTGCTACCTAATTCACACCCCGCCGACGCTGTCCCTGAAAGAGAGTTCCATGCATTGAAACATTGCTTTGGTTTGAGTCGTTACATCATCCAGCAGCAAATGTAAACTAGGGAAGGGATTGCTGTGGATGTAGCTCTGCAGTACAAAAAGCGGCTGTGGAAGAGGGGGGGGTCTGTATGTGGGGTCTATAGAAAAGTCCCCACCCATTTAGAAACAACTGCTCTTGTCTGAGATCATAGTAAGGTGAGGTGCTGTTTTATTCTCTGCAGTTGCCCAGTCAGGTGAAGACTATGTGAGGTTTTTATTACTTCAGACAGAGTGTGACTGAGGCAGTGTCCTTTCAAGGGGATGGAAGGTAGGACTTTGATACAGGAGAAAAAAGTACTGCCTGCATCTGACAGCAACTATAAACTGGTGCAAGCAGAATAAATTATTTTTTGAAAGTATGGGAAGACTCAGTATTATCCAATATAATTAAAATTAGTACATTCACTTCTAAGTAATTTCTTGTAATAATCTATGTAGTATTTCTTGCCCTATCATCCTTCAAGAAGCTGCTCTTGGCAAAATACAAGCTTACTTCCTTGGAGGACTGTATTTATGTTAATACTTAATAGATTGTTATTAAATTTAATTAGCACTATATATATCCTCTTCAGACTTGTGTATATTGTCCTGTCCTGTGATCTTTGCACTAATGAGTATTTGGATGAAAATATTTGGGTGTTTTTGAGAGAGAGTGTGGAAAATTAAATCAATTAAATCAAATATTATGGTTAAAAGTG